CATGGCAATTAGGAGTTAGAGATTAGTTTCAAATACAGAGACAATCAATACTCAATAATCAGACCAGCTTGTTTCTATGACTGGACCAAAACTGACCCTGGATCAGATGCTTGAGCGTCAAAGAGCACCCCCCCACCCCCACCCCCACCCAGCCAGACTCAGTGCAGAAAACGGACGATTTAAGCAGCAGCTGGGATCCCCCTCTGATCCTGCAGCTGGTTCTGCTCGTTCTATCAGAACAGAACCAGCTGATCCGTCATCCAGACATTGCTGCAGATCTTTGAAGAACAAACAGAACCTGAGAGTTTACCGGACCTGAACGACGCAGCGGGTCCGGGTCACCTGCAGGACTGAAAACACCTGAACGTCTGAGCTGCAGCTGGAAAATCACAAGCCTACCTGCACAGAAGAACCAGGACCAGGACCAGGACTGCTCCGGTCTGACCTTCCTCCGGTCTGTTCAGTCCAGCAGAATACACCTGCTGCCCTGACAGGAGGGGGCGGGGCCTAATCCAATTAGCCTGAAGCGAGGAGCAGAGAGAGTCGCCACCTCTTGGACTTAACAAGACCTGAACCCAAAGCTGGACCTTTGGTTCAGCAGCAGAACTTCCAGCTGCTTCGTTACGCTCACGTCCTCTCCCTCACACACCTGAGCTGTCCGACCTGCAGGTGCGACGGCAGCAGGACTCTCGCTCTGTTGACTGTTCACATCCACTCTGACAGCAGCTGATCAGGGATCAGCTGGCTCTCTGAGGAGCCGCAGGTCCAGGATCAGAGCCACATGGGGCTCTGAGGTCTCTCAGGTGACTAAATTAGAAGAAAGCTCCACTTCAGAGTTTGTTCTGACGTTTTATTTATAAATCACTGGTTTAGTGAGTTAAACTGGATGTCATTTTTACAGCTACTGATCGAAGCTTTGGTGTGGTAGTAGCTGAGAGTCATCCCCAACGCACACACAGAACACTAACCGTGGCAACAAAAGGTCATTCCTTCAAGAATGATTAGTTTTACTTCTTTTGGTTTCCATAAAACCATAAACCTAAATCATCTTATCGTCCATCTTTAGAAAAAACACTTCATGGAAACTCTGCTCCCTGATTGGACGGTCTGATTGTGACATCATCCAATCAGTCTGAAGGAAAACGATCTGTGAACGTTCGTTTACGAACTCTAAACCCTGCAGACCACCCGAGCAGGTGTGATTAGACACCAGGCTGCAGGAAGAGATGATGGGCGGAGCCTCCGTCCTGCCAGGTGACAGGAATGCACCTGCTCTGAGCTGAACGTGGACATGATCGATGATGAAGAGGAGTTTCTTACCTTCACCCATCGGGTCGGGACAGGCAGAGCTGCGAGATCCTTCCGGCATCGCCTGCAAACATAAACACAGACAGGACGTATGACCCGAGGACAACACACACTGATGACGGCCTCGTGGTCAGCATCACCTCTAATGAACACAAACAGCGTCTGTGACAAACTACAGGTGAGTCAGGTGAGTGGGGTCATGTGACCAGCTTCAGCTGCGTCCGCACTTTGATGATGGAGGCAAAACAGGACACCAGTGAGCGAGACGAGGACACAGAACCGGACGGACAGCCTTGGAAAGGATTATTTTTCCACGACAGTGAGCTGCGTCGTCTGTGAAAACGCTCATTTTTTAATCTTCACATGAAAACACCAAATCTTCACCAGATCTGAGCAGATTAAACAGTTCACGTGAACATCCTGATGCACGCGCACGTGAACCAACACATGCATCACTGGACACAGAAAGGCCCAGTAAGGTTCACTGCCAGGTGCCGTCCAACAAATTCTTCCCTTTTTATTTCTGAACCAAACAAGGTTCTGATGTTTTATGTGAAACTGTTTTTGTTGACATGCACGTGGCTGTAATCATTTCCTGTTCAGGCTGGTGTGTGAGGTGGAAAAACCTGTGCAGGTATGGTTTCCATGGTAACAGAATCAGAGAATCCAGACTTAAACATCACTCAGACCAGACTATAAATGTGAGCTGGTTACCACGGCAACGTCTTGAGTATATTTTATTTTTACCAAATACAATGACTTGCTTCTTATGGAGCAAAAACAGCTGGGTTCACTGCACCGGACTTCCGTTTGAAACTCCATCCTTTAGTGTAGTTTGGTTTCTCTGCAGGACCCTATCCCATCAAGCTTCTCCTTGTAGCACATCTGAAACATCTCAGCACTAGTTTGGTTTCGGCTCTCTAAAAGTTAGAGAACATCTGCATGATTTCATAAAAACAGCTGGTTTAAGTGCTGCCCTGCTGTTTCTTGTTAGTCTAGTCCTAACGGGGCGGGAAGCGCAACAGAAAAAGGAAAAGTATAAATTTAAAAAACAAATAAAGTTGGTTCTGTTTGAAGCACATGCCGAATTAAAGGCGGATTCATGTTTATCACAACTGAACCAAACTGTTTACCTACTTTGCTTATAATTCTAGGAACAACACGCAAACCTTAAATTACGCGTTTCCCAATGGAGGTTTGCGCTGGCGCATCCATCTGGATCCCCACATGCACGCCCCGGCGTGAGCTCCACCTTTAACGAACTCCGTTAAACTCTGAAGTTCGATCAGACGGAACCGAACATCACCCACGGTTCTGGTTCCGATTCGTAATAAAGGGCCCGGAGTGAAAGTTTATCGGGTCTGTTACTTCCGTGTGGGAGGGGGGCGACGGACCCATCCGTGACAGACAGCCTGGGAGGGAACACGCACTCCCTGGACGCACGGACGGACCGGCACCGAGACTCGGGTCGTGAAGCAGAACGTGTGGCCTCACCTGTGCGCAGGTTCGGGTCCAGTCCCAGGTGAACCCTCCAACTCTCCGCAGCGTTTAAAACACAAACTAATCGTTTCCTCGAACTCTGATCCCCCTCACTGCGCATGCGCACCGTTTCAAATTTACTTACTTTTTCAAGAGTTTTCGTTAAATTCACCTCCTTAAATTCTGAGTTTGACCCAAGAAGACAATAACCAGGATCAGAGAGTCTGACTGTATGAAGGCAACATATATATTTAATTAAATTTTGTTTTAAATCAAAGTTTAATTAAAGTTGCTGTGCACACGGTGGCCACTAGAGGGAGCCAGAGCTCCGGGTCAGGGATGTTTCCGGTTCTTGGAAAAATGCAATTAAAAGTGTTAATGTTAGTGTTTTTAACATCAGGAATATTTGTTCATTTTTTTGTTACATTTCAGTTTCCTTGTTATACTTTTAATTTTTAGATAATTTATAATCAGAAAAATCAGCTTACTGACACGCTGTCATGTTATCTGTTGTCAAACCAGCCTGACATAAATGCAGGTGTTTGAAACTGAGCAGTTTTTGGATTCGAGTGCGTTTCTTTCTCAGCCTGTAATGGTCAAAAATAAACTGTTAATGACTCATCGTGCAGGGAGTGGGTGCACGCTACCAAAAGTAATTCTGGAGATGATTGTCTGTGGCCTGCTGCACAAACAAACAGTGTTCAGGTTCTGCTGAAGTCTCAGGTTGGACTGCAGCAGAGATAAAGTTATTGCACAACACGCTGCCATCAGATGGACAAGTTTCAGCCCGCCAGAGGACAACAGATTTCACCACCACCTCTTCCTGAAAGCCTCCGTAATGAAACTGCAGAAGAGTAAAACTATGACAAAGGTTCAGTTACTGTGAAAATTAAATGAAACTAGAGAAACTGCATTTCCTGTAAAAATAAAGTGTGAATGTGAATTGCTGAAAAGGTGCTGAAATATAGTCGAAATGGGAAGAACACGCCTAAGTTAGCAGAAGAAAGCAGAAATAACACATTTGCTGAATTAGGTATAAATTAGAAATTAGGTTGTTTTTTTTTTTAATTGAAAATTAGTTAAAAATGGCTAAAATTTGCACAAAAAATAGCTGGAAAGTAGCTGAAAAAGCAGAAAGAAGCTTAAACTACCAGAAGGAAGTGGAAGGAGCTGGGGGGGGGGGGGGGGGGGGTGGAATTAGATGAGAAAGCTAAATTTGGCACAAAGCAGCTCAAATGTAGCTGAAATAGCAGAAAAAGCTAAAAGTAGCAGAAAAAAGCTGAAAGGAACATAAGCTGAAATTAATAGAAAGACTAGGCTGAAAGCAGCAGAAAACTTCAATTTATTTGAAAACAGCTGAAATTAGCTAAAATGCGTATCTGAAAATGTAGAACAAGCATAAACTAGTAGAAGAAAGCAGAAAGAACACATTGGCTGAAAGAAGCAGAAATGAGCACAAAAAAGTTCAATCTTAAAAAAATAATAATAAAAAAAAAGGCTGAAAAGTAGCTAAAAAAGCAGAAAAGGGCTGAAATTACCAGAAGTGGAGAATTGGGCTGAAAAATAGTAAAAATGAGTGCAAAAAAAAGTGGAATTAGCTGAAAAAGCTAAGTATAAAACAGCTAAATAGTAGCTGAAATAGCAGAAAAAGCTGAAACTTGCAGAAAGAAGTTAGAAGCACAGAAGATAGTTAGTAGAAAGAATCTGAAAGAAGCACACAACAGCTGAAAAAAGTTTAAATTAGCAGCAGGAAGCTGAAAGAAGCTGAAGCAGAACAAAATGTTAAAGGAGCAGTAAAAGGTTGTAAACACATCTAAAGACTTGAAGGATGTAAAATGAGCTCAGTTCAGTTTCTATGAGAAAAAAAATGTCAGAAAAGGCTAAATATTTCAAATATTTCAAAAAGCTAAAGTTGCACCAACACCAGGAGTCACAGCAGGCTTGTCCTGAAAGAGCCGAACGTTTTGATCATGATTTGTTGAAATGGATAAAAACTGCGACGAGAACGATGCAGAAAACTGTACGGCAGTAAAATGGATCACGAGTGAATGCTTCATAAACATTTTAGTGTTAAGATTTATTTTTATAAATCTGTTTTAACATTTATTCTTACATTTCTTTTCCACCCGAGGATGTTTGGAAACTGGCCAACAGTAAATCATTTGACAAGAATCAGTTTAACTAACATCTTTTTTACTTTAAATACAAAACACTGTCATTTATTACTTGCTGCTGATGGAACTTGATTAATTTTAGTGAAGCTTTGTGGTTGTTTTCATTAGATGTAAAGTTTTCCAATTAAAAGTTAATTCAGTCAGAAATTCAAAGCTGGACACAGACGTTGAGTTTCCGTCTAGATTTATTAGCAAACATTAAAAATGAACCAGCAGAGGTCGATAAAACACTTGACTTCATATTTACAGACACAAAGTGCTTTCAATCTGAATAAACCTGAGACCCAAACACTGATTCATAAATAGATTCAACAGGAAACAATAAAAAACAGGACAGACCTGAGAAAACGCTGCCCACCCGTCCTGCAGCTGATCCACTAAAGTCAGGCTGATGGGAACTGGTTTCATTTCAAAAGTTCATTCTGAAGCTAAACTGCTGATCTCTCCGTTTGTTTGGTCGTTAAAAAGTCAGACTTGTTTATTCTAATAACTTTTCACTGTAAATAATAACGCCTGAACACTACTGAGGTAAAATCATGAAAAATGAAGGCGGATGAACAAGAAAACCTGAAATATTTACAGAATAAAAGCACAGAAACGACCGGCAGGCTGAGATCCAGCATGGAGGAAATGACATCACAGAGGTTTGGTGGTGCTGTTGTACACCAGCGTGTCCTGCTCCGACAGCTCCACTCGACCCGGACTCGACGCGGCCGCCCCACGGTTGCGGTTCTTGCGGGAGCGCAGGAAGCAGTAGCCCAGGATGGCCAGCAGAGCCAAGATGGCCACCGACAAGAGCACAGCCAGAGCGATGGAGCCTGAGGAGGAGATGGAGGGTCACTTCCTGTCAGCTTGAAGTACTACAGTACTTCCACTTTACTGCGGTACAGCGCTCTGAAGTACTTCACGGTGAAAGGCTAACTACGGTGGAACGAAAGGGACAAAACTCAGCAAACCTCCAGTCTCCTGATTTTTGAATTCCTGAACCATGAGGGTCTGAATACAGAGGATGAAGCACCCTTTCAGTGTCTGTTGCTGTTCACACTGGAGCTGCTGCAGTGCTCCTCCTGAGCTGTAGGTGGCGCCAACGCTTACACAACACCGCCAACTAGCAGGAAAAAGATCTGCTCACACACCAACATAACACTTTGTTTTTCTGTTTCCAGGCTATTAATTTAAATATTTGTTTTTTTCCTGTGCAAAGGTTTTTAAAATCGATTTATTCCCTAAACTGTGTCGGCACGTCTGCTCTGCCGGTGTGCTCGGTCCAGATCAGTCGCTGCAGAGCCCAGTCAGTCGCAGACCGTCTCAAGTCCTGGACAGGAAACGTTCACTGGAAGTTGAAGCTGAAACGAAACGAGCGCCCCCTGGTGGCTGGCTGCAGTAAGTTCTCATGACGTAGATTAATTACCAGACCAATAATAAAACTTTTTAATCTACCAGTGTTCTCTCCTACAGATGACCTAACTGCAGTTCAAAGGTTCAGGTTCTAGTTTAATTCTTTGTTGCTAAATAAAATATAATAAAAGTGACCAGGAGGGAAGGAGGTGGATTTTTCTGCTGCACGTGTAATAATGTGGCTTTGTTTTTATTTGCATGTTTAAACTTGTTCCTCTGTTCATTTGAGGCTGCCACCAGTGACGCGACCAGAGACATCTGGCAGCTCACACAGGTGTTCCCCATCAGCCATAATGACATGGGAGCCAAGAATGGGAAATAAAAAGCGCGAGACGATGAAGCCAAGGGGTGTCAGCGTGAGAGAGCGGCGGAACGGCGGATGCGCGCAGCCACCGCCGAGGGGCGGGAGGGTGCGTCGGCCAGGGAGCGCAATGGTCGGGTACACAACCACCGCTGAGCAGCAACAGCCGGGGACCATCTGGTCAGCAGGTGACCAGAGACTGAAGGCGCCGTGACGAAGAGCAGAGACTAGCGGGGGTAAGGACGCACCGAAGAAACCAGTTGAGCTGGTCGGCACGGTGGATCGTGCCCGGTTGGAGGGTGCAGTCGTCCGGGTCTGGTGTCGGAGGACCGAGCGTTGGAGTTCGCCAGAGCTCGAGGTCGCCATGGGACGCCGAACTCAAGGAGGTACGAGCGCCGGGTGAGGTCGAGGCTGTGGAGGGACCGAGGCCGAGGAGGGACCGAGGCCGAGGCTGTGGAGGGACCGAGGCCGAGGCTGTGGAGGGACCGAGGCCGTGGAGGGACCGAGGCCGAGGCTGTGGAGGGACCGAGGCCGTGGAGGGACCGAGG